GCTTCTCAGAGATCACAACAGGAGGCACGGATTTCATGCACTCAAGACGAGCGGGAATCAGAGCGATGCCGAGGGCTGTCGAGGTGGGGCAGAAGGGGGGTGGGAACAAGAGTTGACAGAGGTGTGTGAGGAGGCCACCAGGATGGGCAGGGGCCCTTTGAGTAGAACTCTGGCCTTTGGGGCTGCCTGGAAACAAAACTACAAGGCTCAGCGGAAAAGGGACAGAGGGACTTTTGACCTCTGAACACTTGTCAGATGTTCAGAAGAAAAGATAAAGCCATATAATGTGGGAGTGGGGGAGGGGGCAAGAGGGTGCTGTGGGCCTGCTCTGAGTGGAAACAGTTCACAAGTAGGATCAGGAAAGGCTGTGCTGTGGGCCTGCTCTGAGTGGAAACAGTTCACAAGTAGGATCAGGAAAGGCTGTGCGAGAAGCGGGCCCCAAACAACATCCAAGCTACTACCCCGCCACCATGCCCAGAGAATTGTGCCAAGCTGTGGAGGCCAGGAAGAGCGTGCCCTGTTGTATGGGGTCTGGGGAGCCATGGCGGGTTCCCAGATTTAGGCAGAGACACCGCTGGGTCTGGTTTTAGGAAAACGACTCATCTGAAAATGGAAGCAGTGCTGGAGTACGGTGCACAGAGGTCAGGGGTCCTGAGAGCCCAAACAGCAGGTACTCAGGACCACCAAAAGCATCATGGAGGGGCTGCCAGGGGACAGCCGGGTATGGGGCCAAGTGTTAGTTATGTGTGTTACACACCCATATTGCCGTTTCCCTTCCATCCACTGCAGCCAGCAGTATCATGGCGGAGGTCCTACTACTGTCCCCCGTGTCAAAGACGGGGAGTGAGGCTCAAAAAGCCCCAATGGCTGGTCCCATCCACAAGCTAGCGTGTCACGGAGGCAGAGTCGGGCAGCAAGCCATGTGAGGTCTCTGGAGGAACAGTGAGGAACGGGCATCCCCTCCCTCCCATGGGGAAGGACCGAGAGAGTCACTCACTCTTCGAACCCCTTCCCCTTCATCCACAGATAACTTTGCTAGGCGGAGCAGGTGTGCTTCCGGCAAACGCTGGGGTCCGAGCCAGTTCTCCTGTTTCCTGGGCCTTTGTTCTCACGTCACTGTCTCCTGCTCTGGTGAGGGTACCCTGTGTGAAAAGTCGAGCTCAGAGACAGGGCTGGGGTAGGCAGCTCAGAGTAGGCGGGGCCAGAGCCCACCATGGCTGCAGCCCCAGGACAGGTCCTGGCTGATGGTTTGAGCCCTGTTGGATCTTTAGGTCATGGCGACTCTTCACTGGCAACTCTGCTCCTCGAGGAAGCCGTCCCAGGTGGCACATAGTGTTGGACTGGGGATAGGGCCTTCTCTGTCATCCAGCCTCGGGCTCCAGAGTAACCCTGAACCTGAAGTGAAGGTTCTCGGTAAGTGCCTTGCTGGACTCCAGCCCAGCCAGGTGCTGGGAGGAGGCGGGGCAGAGACCAACCAAGCCAAGAAGCCAGAGCCTCAAGCCTCACCAACATGCTCAGCCAGTTTCTCAGGTATCTTGCATCCGATGTCTTGGGGTGTCATGGGGACAGCTGGACATGAGGAGCCCTGGTTGCTCTCCCTGCTGGGCCCCAAGAGACAGAGGCCATTGAGGTGAACAGGTGGCCCAGGGCAGGACTTTGAAATCGGAGACTGCTGTGCCTTTGAGATGGACTCGGCTTCCTCCTGGCCCCGCCTCGTAGCCGATTGCCAGATTCCGGAGCATGTGCAGGGCCCTTTGCTCAGAGCCGAGAGGCCACGTTGGTGGTAGAAGCTCGTCTCCCCCGAGCTGGGTTAGTCCTTGACGGGGCTTCATGTGTGAGATGAAAGGGTGACCCAGCAGGACCTCAGAGTCCCTCTAGGCCCTTAAAACACCAGTGAGGGACACATTAAACAGGGTCCCAGGTCACCAGGCCCCGCAGAGTGGGGCGTGAGCTCAACCCACAACCCAATGAGCATAGGCAGAAAGTCCTTGCTGGAACCTTGCTCACCCTACAGCTAGGAAAGGAATGCCTGTCTGGCCTTGTGGTCGTGGGAGGGGCTGGCACTCCACAAGTCCACTTCAGGCCCAGACACATGGCCATCCCCCATCTCTGTGGCCAGCCCTCTCTTCGGGTGACATGTCCTTCACTTCTGGCCCCGTCTTTGCCTCACTTCTCCCCCCTCCTCCCCCTCTTTAGTTCTTTTTTAGGCTGTGCGCCGTATCACACCATGCCTCTCCATTATTCGGCTCAAGGGCTCTCCACGTGCGCTGTCGACACACTGAGCAGTTAGGGGCACACAGCCCCGAATGTGGCAGCGCTGAGGTCAGGCCAGACGCAGTGAGTTCTGTTCAGGGCCCTGAGCCTCTGCAAGGGCACAATGGGGCCCCTGTGGGCACAGCCACTGTCCCGAGGGTTACGAGTTCTCTGCACCCCTGGGTTTCACATGAGTGAATTCAGCTAGCCACAGATGGAAAAATCTTTGGGAGTGGGGGAGTGTATCCTGATCCTGTCTCTAGCCACGAATACAGGGTGGCAGGGACGTACCTGACGCTGAGTTTTGTAACTCAGCTGAGACGAAATAGAGTACACAGGAGGATCGCCCAGAGCCTGTCATAGACAGGGCTTGAACATGTGCAAATCGGGATATCTGAGCAGAGTGGGCGTCAGCCTCCCTAGAGGAATTTATGAGTGAAAGTGCTCTAGACCCTAAGAGACATTGCTGCTGGTTGTGACTGTAGCTGTAAGCTATTGATGAGAGCTAGCCACCACCTCCTCATCCTCCTCCTCCTCCTCCTTCTCTTCCTCCTCTTCCTCCTCCTCCTCCAAGCTCTCCAGAGGGTGCCAAGCTTTCCCTTTTCTCTCTCTTCCTCATCTTCTCCATCCTCGGCTCTGACGGTGCTCAACCAGCTGAGGTTTCCCTCAATCCTCTCCTGCCTCCCTCACAGTGAGGACGGCTTCAGATAAGTTATCTCAGGATTTACTCCCCGGACCAGCATCAGGGTGGCTGGCACAAGCAAGTAGCTCTTCATGAAGTCTCTGCCCTAGAATAAGAGGGAACATGAGGACTTTGGGGTCACGAATTTGTTTGGCTTCTTTGTCTAAACTGTTTTCCTCTTTAATGGAAATAAATCCCTAGTAATAAAAATAACCCAGGAGAAGTAAACAGCACTTCTACCCAGCACCCAGAGCTAAGCCCTAAGCCCCTCAGCCTCCAGCCTGGAGCCTAGAGGCTCTTCGCTTTGTAATAAAGAGCTTCTGCCGTGCTGCTTTTGGAAAGCTGTTTAGTTTTGTGGCCTTTGTATGGGAGGGAGAATACCTGTGCACATGTATGCAGAGCCCAGAGGAGAGCCTCCACTGTTGCTCTTCAGGTGCTGTCTTCCTTGATTTTATGACACAGGGTTTTACAAACCTGGGGTTCACCCAGCAGGTCAAGCTAGCCAGCCACTGGGCTCCAGGAAGCGGCCTGCCTCTGATTTCCTAGCGCTGAGATTGTGGGCATAGCCGCCAGTTCACTAAGCCAGCCATCTCCGCCAGCTCTTCTGTTTTTGCTCTTTAATCTCTTTTCTTATTGTCTGATAAGTACATTCATTCCTATAATGTTTGATCAAACCCATCCTCTTTCCCTCCCCTCCAGCTTCTCCCCTGTCTTAGAGTATTTCCACCCACTTTTCCCAAATGATCCCTAAGCCTTGGGTGAGGGGTATGTATGTCCCATTTAGAGCTGAAATACTCCATAATCTTTTATTCTCCGAAAAAAAAAAAATCTCTGATGAGGCTTGAGAGATGTGCTAATCTATGGATACAAAGATATGTATTTAGTTGACTATGTCCATTTAGCAAAGAAATAGTTAGGTTCTCCCCGAGGGCTTCTGACCCAGCCAGCAGTAGGGTTTTGGCCCAGTGAATAGTACCAGGCACAAGTTCAGTCTTGGAGTACAAGATTCAGATCCAATCAGAAGGCGATTGGTTACTGCCATAATGTCAGGGCCACTGTTACGCCAGCGGGAGCGTGTCGCCAGGTCAATTGTTACTGTAGTCACAGTGTTCAGGGATGAGTAATACCGGCGATTACTTCTCTCCTCTGATAAAAACAGGCGTAGTACCTTCAAGCGCCATGAAAGCTAGCCAGAAGGGTGGAAGCTTCCAAGTCAGTACCAGCTTGATTTCACCGTGTTCTATGATCCAAGCATGTGATATCTTTAGCAATAGGCTCTTACCATCAATTCTAGAGGGCAGCCAATAGCAACAGCCTGTGATATGGGGGGGGGGGGTATCTATGGGATTCTACTGACTAACAACTTGAAAAGAGGTAACCCACACCTGCCTTTTTATTTGATAGGCAATATCTGGCCTTAGAACTCATTGTGTAGCCCGGGCTAGCTTTGGAACTCACCATGTATCCCAGGTTGGCCCTGAGCTCCTGCTTCTGCCTCCTAAGTGCTTGAAGACATGCACCACATAGCCTGGATTGTTTGGTTGGTTGGTTCGTTGGTTGGTTTTGTTTTGTTTGTTTTAACTTAAGAGGTCCGGGGATTGTCTTCCAAGCACATAAAGGCTGGTCTACCTTACCTGCGTGGATGGATGTCCCCATGCTTTCTTTTAGCCTGTGTTGCAGGATCTGGAAGGTTTGGGTGTCTTCCCTGGGTTTGCGGTCCTGAAGTGTCTGCCTGTCTCCCTGAACAAGCATGTGTGAGCACCTCTGTTTTTCACAGAGTAGAGCAGCACAAAGGATGGGTGAGCCCCAAGACTGGCTGCATTGGCAGCTGTGCGCACACACTGGTCAGTGTGGCGTCACCCGAACTGAGTGGCCGTGGTCTGGGAAAGGGTCAGCACAGCCTCCATCTCCGCTCCCCCAGGGAGGCCGGAGGATGGGTCCATCCTCGCCTTCACTGGTGGTACTGGGTTCACCCTAGCCGGTGCCTCGAGGGTAACTTGCCCAGCCAATAATGGAAAGAATAAAAACAGCCTCAGGTCACGCTTGCCATTTTCTGTGCCTGTAGGTGGCCTCAGTGGGGCAACTATCATCGATTCTCTTGACACCCTCTACCTCATGGAGCTGAAGGAGGAGTTCCAGGAGGCCAAGGCCTGGGTCCAGGACAGCTTCCACCTGAACGTGGTGAGTCAGAGGCCATGGGGAGAGAAGGGCCAGCCTCCTGCCCCACAGACAGCAGGCTTCTTCTCACCTGGGACAGTGTAACAGAGCAGTGTCGAGCCAGTGCTGCAGTCTATGCCCTGCTGCGTCTCCTCACTGAACACCAGGCTTGAAGGGGGATGTCTCCAAGATGGCGTCCTCTGCTACAAGGGGAGACAGCCAGGATCACCCCTCCCCTCCCTACACTGCTCATCTTGGGGTGTTGCTCAGCAAGCGGTAGGAGGGGAAGTGGCTTTGTTGGAGGCCAGAGCTGCTGGGGGCCTGAGAGCTGGACTGGAGAGCTGGGGAAGGCTTTCCACCTCTTCCAATCTTAGTCTCCTCAGTATGAGACAGGAAATGATGATCCTGGCAGAGGGCTGGTGGAGAGTGTTTTATGGCCCCATAAAGTCAACACAAATGCAAAGTGGCCTCCTCATCACCGTTATAATTACTAGAATCATCTTGAGGCCTCTGCAACTTCTGGTATCCATGAGGCCAGGAGAGTGTAGAGCCCTTTGCTCCTTTTCTGTTCAGAGAGAGGCAGCAGGCCCCAGCTCCTCCAGGCAGAAGAGGCGCCTGTTCAGGGGACCGGGCAGCTGTGGGCACTCAGGTAGGCCAGGGCAGGCTACAGTGTTTTCAGAAGAAAGAAAGGTGGGGTCACCTGTTTGAGCCTTTAGATTTTTTATTTTATTTATTTACTCTTGGTTTTTTGAGACAGTGTTTCTCTGTGTAGCCTTGGCTGTCCTGGACTTGCTTTGCAGACCAGGCTGGCCTGGAATTCACAGAGATCTGCCTGCCTTTGCCTCCCTGAGTGCTGGGATTACAGGCGTGTGCCACCGTACCAGCTGGGTCTTAGCTTTTCGTCTAGAGATTGGGGTGATGTCATGGAACGCTATGAGGCTGAAAGGAAGTGAGAACGGCACACACTTTGCTAGTGGAAAAAATCCTTCCAGATTAACAGGTAATAGTGGCTACTGTCAATAACAAAAGCTTGAGTGCAGTTCTGGAATCACAGCTACTCTGGAGGCTGAGGTAGCCAGGGCACATGTTAAAGGCTAGCCTGGACAACATAGTGTGACCTTGTCTTAAAATTAAAAAAAAAAAAAAAGGTAATAAATAAATAAAAGAAGGCTGGGTGTAACTTCATTAACCCCCCAGCATTACAAATAAAAATGTAAAATATGATGCAGAAAGCTGCCAAGGGGAGCCCCTGGGGCAAGGAGGTGATAATAGGGACCTGTGTGAACCCCCACCCTCACAGGGGCACCTGTGAGAAGGCCTGCTGGGAGATAGGAAGCCCAGGGGGAAGGGAGAGATCTATCTCTAGTCACAGGCCATCCGTGTACATGGCTAAGGTGGGGATTTAGCCGGACCCGGTCCTTGGCAAGATGACTCCACACCTTCTTGGTACAGTCAGGGAGAAGGGCAGTGTGAGTGGGCCCAGGGACTGACGGCTCTTACCCGGGCATCTGCCCCCAGCCTCCTGCTCAGCCCTGCCCTGCTCAGTCGCCCCGGGGAAGGGCCTCTCCAATTCCTGCTAAGCCAGGGGAAGCTTCTCGGGCGGGGGGGCGGGGGTGGCAGGCGGGAGAGAAGGCTTCGGCTCTCCTTGGGCAAGCTTCTCCTGCAGCTCAGCACAGGTCCCGGAGCTCCTTGGAGCACAGCCAGGCGTCACTGCTCCAATGGCCTCCGGCAAGGCTGGGGAAAGGAGCCAAAGCCGGTGTTTATTCAGAACACTTAAATGCACAGTAGCAGCTGCCAGGCAGGTGCTGGCCCCTCTCGACCTCTGCTATGAAAGCCGAGCTGTGGCCTGGCCTGCCGGGGTCCCCAGAGCAGGCACAGGTGTGTGCTGAGGGGAGCAGTGTGGCCCGTGTCCAGGGCCTGGCTGGCTCTGAGAGCTCACATGTCCTTTCTCTCCCCTCCCCGCCTTCTTGCAGAGTGGAGAAGCATCTCTGTTTGAAGTGAACATCCGATATATCGGAGGACTGCTCTCGGCCTTCTACCTGACGGGAGAAGAGGTAAGTTGGTCCTCAGAGGCCCGAGGGCCACCCGGGCTGGAAGAGTCTTAGAAAAACTGTCTTCCTGCCTCTTCTTTCCCAGTGGCTTCATGGGGGCAGGGAGTCTGCCAGAGAACAACCAGGAGTCCCGTGAGGATTCCGCATTGCTCAGATCTGTGGCCTAGGTGGAGCACACTTGGCTGCCAGAGCAGCTGGTGAATTCTGTGGCGATAGAACCAAGTCTATGCAGAACAAGCTGCCATTCATAGATGTCCGTTCTCAGGACCCACAAAGCCAAGCCTGCCGCCTTACTACCCTGACCATTGTTTGTTTTTCTTTTTTTTTTTTTTTTGAGAGCCTGTTTTGCCCGCATGTATGTATATGTACCATACCAGTGTCTAGTGCCCACAGAAGCCAGAAGAAGGCATTGGATCCCCTGAAATTGTAGTTACAGCTGGCTGCGGGCCTCCATGTGTTAGGAATTGAACCGGGTGCTCTGGAAGAGCAGCCAGTGCTCTCCAACACTGAGCCATAGAGCCCATAGGTTTTCATGTACTTCATAGCCAACCCTTTCCCTCTCTCCCATCCTGGGCAGAACTATAGCCAGATACTTGCCTGCACCCATTCTCAAGGAAGCAGTGGACAATGGAGCCTCCCTACTGGCCATAGCCTGTAACTGCAAGGCTTTGAAGGCCGGAAAGAGCCAGGGGTCACTTGTAGGTGGCCTTAAACAAGTCTCCTCTTCCAGACATTGGATGGGCATGATACCTCTTTGGCCTAGGGCTGTCACCGCCAAAGGTCACCTCCTCTCTGCCAGAGAATTCTGAATTGTCCTTTGATTGGGAGAAACTGGAGCCTTCCTTCTCCCCTCGTGAGCTCTTGTCATAGCACAGCCTGAGTATTGGGTGGCCAGGTTGGCAGCTTCCCCAGACTGCAGGTCAGGCATCCATCAGTCAGGCCACTCCTGGGAGCCAGAGGTCCACTCTGCCCAGCCCTGCCACCACGTGGAGCCCAGAGCCAGGCAGGTAAAGCAGGGAAGCTACACAGAAACCCTGCCTCTCTCCATCACTGTGGTCCAAGGACGTCTTCCTCCCTCAGCTGTCATGGCTGAAGTCGAGGGCTTAGAGGCAACAGGCTGCCTCTATCTCTCGAGTCGCTTCGGGCCACTCTCCATCTAACATAATCTCCTCAGCAGAGATTACTGCCTGTACCAATTTGTAAAAAAAAAAAAAATTGTCGGTGGGAGCCCTCGGCTTCAAGCCACCCGGAGCTTGAATATTACTTGACAACCCCAGGACCACCCGGAGCTTGAATATTACTTGACAACCCCAGGACAAGAAAATGGCAGAGCGAGCAGGAAAAAGAAAAAGAAGACAGAATCATTCATGTGCTTCAGAGGCCCTGCCCAACCTCGCCTGGCTGGTGTGGTTGGAGCGATGGGGGAGAACAGGGGGAGGGAAGGGGCTTGAGGACTGGCCACTCAGGAAGGAGCTAGTGGCCCCTGGGTGGTGGCCACCCAGCCCTCCTTTGACCCTCCTCTGAAGAGTCTGTGGTTCTGAGCCCTCAACGACCTGAGCAATGCTCACTTCAACTTCAGGATGTGCACCTAGCAGGGGGCTGTGGGCCAGGGCATCTAAACTTGAGAAGGAGTTCACGGCCCACCAATGGCGTATGCCTTTAATCCCAGCACTCTGGGAGGCAGAGGCAGGAGGATCTCTGAGTTTGAGGCCAGCCTGGTCTACAGAGTGAGCTCCAGGACAACCCAGGCTACACAGAGAAACCCTGTCTCAAAAAAAAAAAAAAAAAAAAAAAAAGACAGAAAGAAAAAGAAAACTAAGAAGAAAAAGAAGAAATGGAGGAGGAGGAGGAGAAAACAGTTGACAAGGCTCAAGGGGAGGCCCAAGTAACCAGTGCTGAGTCTGTCTCCCAGCGCCTGCCCAGAGCTGCAGTACATTCCACGGCCCCTGCTGTCCCAGGCTTGTTACCTTCTAACCCCCAGGTTGTGAGTTCTGTGCACAGCCCAGTGGGAGCCACAAATGCCACATGAGTGCAGGGAGAGCATCGCTCACTTGGGGTGATGAGACAGACTTACAACCTCGAGTCACTGAGAGATATGCTAGTCCTCTCTCCAGACCTTGACCTGCCCAGCTCCATCTCCATTGTCACTGCTCGCTATTAGGGCTCGGTCACACACGTGCCCAGTGGGGGCCTCAAGGCAGAGTTTCTCTGTGTGGCCTTGGCTGTCCTAGACTCTCTTTGTAGACAGGCTGACCTCCAACTCGCAGAGGTCTGCCTGCCTCTGCCTCCTTGAGTGCTGGGAAGCCCGGCTGGCTTCCAGTTTCTTGACTCCCCACATATGTATGTGTCACTGGCTGGCTGCCAGTTTCTTCACTTCAAAGGAAGTGGCAGGAGAGGATTCTACCGGTTGGTCTCCATTGCTGACACTCGTCTCCCACCGAGATGGCCGGCATCTGGCTAGAGAGATGGCTCCATGGTTAAGAGCACTAGATGGACTTACAGAGGTCCTGTGTTCAGTTCCCAGCACCCACAGGCCCCTATAACGCCATCTTAGGGGCTCTGATGCCCTCTTCTGGCTCTCTTGAGCCTGACATGTATATGATGCACAGACAAACCTGCCGGCTAAACACCTTTACACATAAAATAAGAAAATGTTTTTTTAAAGATGACAGAGCTTAATCACTCTTCACAGTTTAGAAGCACATTCACCTATGACATGATTTCTCCAAGAACTCCGTGAAGCTGCCGAGGCATACCCCGTCATTCTACTGTGCAGATGGGGAAACTGAGGCTCAGAGGCAGTGCAGGGCTCAACAAAGGCCACAAAGCGGCACTGTGTGCTGGGTCCTGGGCTCCATGTGTTTTCTGTCCTATGGGATGAAACTCACACCTGTCCTGTCTCTGTTCAGGACCTGAGGCCCCAGCCCTATGTGGAGAGACACTCAGGTGTCCTAGTGAAAGCCACAGAGTGCTGTAGCCCCGAGCGAGTCACTCCAAAGCTCCGATGTCTCAGCCTTAGTGAGGGCCTTCTTCCAGGGCTGTTGCGGAGACTGAAGTTCTGCAGACATGGCCCCCCTCCCCTGCTCCCCTCCAAGATGGCCTAGAGGACCCGTGTCTTGCGGTCACCAGCAGTTTCACTCTAGAATACACATTCCTGCTTAGTCCCTCCTCAGGACCTTCGGGACCTTCAGTGATGGCTGGCAGCAAGGAATCCTAAGGACCGTGTGCAGGAGGGACCTGGTACCCTGGCAGAAAGGAGAAGGGTCTATCGAGTAGCTCAGCCTCCTCAGAGTCTCTGGCAACTGTGCAGCTGCCTGGGCCACATGTTTGGGTGGGTTCCATTCGCCGCCAGCAGCCCCCTGGAGGGGAGGGATCCAAAGCCTGCACAAGATCAAGGCCTCACAAGCCCTTTCTGTCACTCAGCCAGTGGTTCCAGCTGGGCTGAGCACTGCAGCAAACCCACAGGGCAGACCCTGCAGCTCCAGGCGACAGGTGCCTTTGGGTTCTAGACCAGCTCCCCAGGGTCTGCTTCCGGGGCTCCCTGACAGGCCCTGGACAGGGTCCTCTTGTCTGGCCATGTAGACAGCCCTGCCACTCTCTTCCCCCTTCCCTGGCAAGGCCATGCACCCTCAGAAGCCTCAAACCCATTCACCAGCTCAGAGCTGGCAAGCCTCTAACAGCTGCCTGTGGTATAGGGATGAGACCCAGGGCCCTGGGGACTTGGTCCATGAGCTCCATCCCCAGCCCCTCCCTCATTCAGCAGGTTTTTGTTGCTTGTTCAGAAGGTCAGGAAGCTGAGTCAGCAGAGCTACAGACCGGGGGACTTGCCTCTTGGCTCTTAAGTGGCATTTACAATCCTCTCTAGGTATCCATGGTGACTAGGCCCAGGACCCCTCTGAATCCCAACTTCCAGGAATGCTCAAGCCCTTACCTGAAATAGAGTGCTGTTTGCAGAGAGCCCACGTCCATCCTCTCAAAGTCCTTAGGATGCCCGAGAGCAGAGGCCTGCCCTGCTCCACTCTTTAGGAATAAGAGTCCCAGTGTGTGATCAATGCAGATGTGATTTTTATCCCTCCCTCTAGCGCGCAGCCCACACTGGCCCCAAATTCCTGGCTTGAAATATTTCTCTTGCCTCAGGGTCAAGTTTACAGGTGGACCCTGTCACGGCCAGCTTTTTTTTTTTTGAAAAGTGTGTCTTCAGTCTGTGGTTTGTTGAATATGGAGATCAACTGTGTTATTGGCCTATCAAGGGGTATGTGTGTGTATGTGTGTGTGAGAGAGAGAGAGAGAGAGAGAGATGTTTATCATGCATACGTGCATGTCAGTGGGTGCCTGTGCACCTACTGGGAGCCCAGAGCAGGATGTCTCTTCCTTTCAGTCTAGGCTGGGGTTCCAGGAACCAAAGCCACACCCGGCTTTGTATGTGGGCGCCGGACACCCGAGCGCAGGCCCTCACGCTCGCAGAGTAGGTGCCCTTACCACGGAGCCACCTCCCTAGTCCTGTTGTAAAATCGCACAGGCTGAGCACAGCCATGCCTGGCCGTGGGCCCAACCCGGGAGGCGAAGGCAGAAGGGTTCCGTGAGTGTGGGCACCCAGAAGCAGCCTAATTACGTACAAAGCACAGATGAAGCAAAAGGAGGAAATAGATAACACCTGTGGCCTCACCCCTCGACGAGACGCCATCAATGCTTTGATGTGTTTTCTTTATTTTTTTTTTTCATGCATCCATATGTAAACAAATTGTAAACTGAGTCACGCCGCTTTGAAATATTTGTCTAGGTCCAAGGGCACATGCTCCCTCTGCTTCTAGTTATTCTTCCACTACATCCTGCTAGTGGCTGCGTGACATTGCACCGTGTGGGAGCCGGGGCCCGAACCGAATCCCTGTCACGTGATTCACCACAGTCTATTTCAGGCAACGCTGGAATAAACAACCGTATCATAAAGTCTTTCACAGCACTCTCAATTATTTATGCCCCGAGAGAAATTGGGTTGCTTTGTTCAGGTTTTTACATCACACCTGCGCATTGGTTTCGGGAGGGTGCGCGCACACTCACGTGTGTCACAGTATGCGTGTGGAGGTCAGGGGACAACTTCTGAGAGTGCGCCCCCTCCTTCCATCACCTGGGTCTCCGGGGATCGAACTCAGGTCGTTAAGCTTGGCAGCAAGCACCCTTGATGAACGGAGTCATCGCGCTGGCCCTTTCGGAGAAACTGGTTACGAGAAAGGCCGCTGAGTCGGGAGGTCACATGGCCCTTCTAAGTTAATCTGGCATTTCAGAGGAGCAGTTTAAAGGAATGGGGACCTCAGGTGGGACCTTGTCATGGCTCCTTAGCTATCACATGGAGGGTTTAAAACAGCCCATTTACCCTTGCCCTCCGTTTCCTGTCGTAAAATGGGAGTCATTGCGCAGCCTCAGACTACCAAAGAAAGGCCTTTTTCCTGCCATCTCACAGGGAAGCTGTCACCCAGGAGGCAGAAGTTTCTGGAACCTGGATGACAGTATGGTCTGGGCTCCTAGTCCAGTGCTGAACATGCTCTGTCCAAAGAGACAGCGAGTTTCCCTCTCTTGCTGTATGAGTCAGCAGTCCCTCATGGAACAAAATGCCTGAGACAATCAGCTTAAAAGAAGAAAATGTTCTGCTGGGCTTCCTGTCTCAGGGGTCTCATCACAGACCAAGCTTACTTGGTGGCTGCTTTGGCTCCACAGTGGACATCATGGCAGGAACACGTGATGGAAGAGATGCCAGCAAGCGGAGAGCCAGGGAGGGGTGGGGGTCCCAGGATCCCCATCAGGCTTCCCACCCCACCCCCACTATCTGCTTCCCCCTACGTTCCAGCTTTTCAAAGTCCCACCATCTCCCAATGGTAACAAGACTGGGAATCAAACCTTCAACACGTAGACCTTGGGGTTCGCTCCCGGTCCAGGCTGGAGCTCAGTGGCAGCCTCGCTGACGCTGGTAGCCCACCCTTGTCAGTGGGGTCTGCCCCTGGACTTGGAGGTGACGCTGACTGCTCTCCCCTCCTCTTCCCAAGGTCACCTGATCACAGCGTCAGTCCTCCGTCCCCCTACCACCTTAGGAACCACGCAGGTGTTTCAGGAACACAGAAATTGATGCGCAGAGAGAAATAGCTAGCCTAAGGCCTCGGAGCGGGTCTTGTGGGGGCCTGGCCTCCCATTATGGCTTCTGACTGCAGGCCTGACGTGGTGCCCCCTCTCAGCCCTGTCCCCAGCTTTGATGGCAGCACGTACGTGCTTGGGTGACCACTCGCCCACTTCAGACTCAGTGCCCTCTGACCTTCCTCGGCAGGTGTTCCGAGTCAAGGCCATCAAGCTGGGTGAGAAACTGCTACCAGCCTTCAACACTCCCACGGGCATTCCCAAGGGCGTCGTGAACTTCAAAAGGTGAGCTGCCCCCGTGTGAACTCGTGGCTTTGTGGGTCCTCTGTGGCGGCCTAAGGACGAGGCCCGGGGACAGATGACAGACAGAAGGGAGTCCGAGGAGGTCAGCTCTGTTTGACTTAAAATTTTACAGAGGTGGGAGCTGAGGCATGAGAAGGGATAGTTCCTGTTTTGAGCGTGTTGAGAACTTGACCTTTGCTGAGTGCTATCATGGACAGGCTTTGGCTACCAAGTGCAGGTCTCGGGGTTTGGACCACCCAGGCCTGACCTTCTCAGGGTGGGAAGGGCATTTGTTCCTCTGCAAATAACCCCCAGCACTGTTGACTCTGCCCCCTCCCTCCTGAGGAAGCTTGTGTGCAGAGTGTTCTCCCTGTGAGCTGGTACCTAAGGAGGCTGAGAGGATCTGGACCTCCGTTCTCCCTGGGACTGCTGTAGGGCCCTGGCTCTGGTCTAGGTGAAGGAGATGCCTAGAGGACAAAGGAGGCACACAGCCATGTCCCCCAAACACCTGCAGCTCTCTGGGCCATATGTGACGCACTTGAGCTGGGAGGCAGGCAGGGGTAGCCCATGCTCCCTGTCTTGCCCGAGCCCCCATCTGGGATACCTCACGAGAGTGCTGGCCAGGTGCCTGGCAAGGGGGTCCACCCAGCTCCTGCTGGGCCCCACCCTCCCTCCATGTCCTGTGGCCTTGGTAGCTTTGCCCTCGGTGCTCCCCAGACCAGGTCCTGTGCTCAGAGGGCTTGGACAGAAGCGACCCACACCTTCACCCTGGATCTGGGCACAGCCCTCAGCGCCCCTCCCTCTGCTGCAGCCCAGCCCCCCCCATCTCACCTGTAGACCCCAGCAGAGCCTGGTCCTACACAGGCCCTACAGGCGTGGATATTTTTAGGCTCCCTGCTCGCCCCCAAGAGAAGCTGCATGTGCGGACTTCCTGGCACCGCTCCCTCTCATATTCTGGGAAAAAAGCTACTGCTAAAAATGGGAGGGTAGCGAGGACGCAGCAGCCACGCGCTACGGAGAACACTCCTCAGAGATGACCTGGCAGGGGCCTGGCCCCTCGGTGCTGCTCCTGTGGTGTTTGTTCCAGCAGGCCTGGTTCCCCGGGTGGCTAGAGGGCTAGGTGAGCAGCCCCGCCCCAGCGCTGCCCCTCGAGGAGACATGCTCACCTCTGCAGAGGAGGCATGGTGGGAGAAGCAAGGCCAGCTGTGGCCTGCAGAGACTTCTGGCTACCTGAGACAGTGATTGTGCCCAATCCAGGGGACCTCTGGCTGAATCAGTCTCTTTCTGGTGTACATAAGCACACACACACACACACACACACACACACACACACACACACTTGCACAAAACACTGCTGGTGCCCATGTCACTGATAAGGACTCAGACATTCAAGCTGGCCATTGTGCTATTCTCAAATCCATACACAGACTCGGGCATCCATACAAACGTACATTTCCGTGGGCGTTATCCCTCTAATCGTGAGCACACCTACATGATTGCTGGCAGCTTGTTTGTTTGTTTGTTTGTTTGTTTGTTTTTGTTCTGTCTTTGGAGACAGGGCTTTCTCTGTGTAGCCTTGGCCGTCCTGGAACTTGCTCTGTAGACCAGCCTGGCCTCGAACTCATAAGAGATCCGCCCGCCTCTGCCTTCCTGGGTGCTGGGATTAAAGGCGTGTGCCGCCACTGCCGAGCTTGCTACCAGCTTTTGAGTACACAGTAGGTCATGTACCCTGTGAGCTTTCTTTTCTGACCACCGGGACCTCATTTTGCAGGGAAAGAAAATGAAGCTCAGAGAAGTTCGGTAACATTCCCACGGTTACACAGCAACCAAGCAAAGTTAGGATTTGAACTCAGGTCTGGCTGTAACAATTGTCCCACACCCACGAGGTTTTGCCGGGTATCGAGGAGCACTGTGGAGCAGCCCCCTTGCCAAGGGAAAGGAGAGGATCTTACTCCTGGTCCTTCAGCTCCACAGAGCTGGCCGGAGGAGCCTCTCCTCTCCAGGATGCTCCTTACAGAGCACACTAGGGATGCATGGAGACCTGAGGTCAGGATTCGGATCTGGATTCAGCGCTGCCACTTGCTGTGTGACCTTGAAAGAGTGTCTCCCCCTTTCTGAGCCTAAGTATTCCCACCTATGAAATGAAGATCACAGTATCTGCTAGTAGAGTTGGAGGAAGAAATAAAATAAGACACCAAAGCCACCTGGCTCCTAGTAGAAGCTTATTGTCACTTACATAGGCATAATTATGTACTGATAAAAATGACAGTCACGTGCGTAATTGATGCCTCACAATAGCTCTGCAAGGCTGAGCACCTCGGTTTAAGGGAGGAGGAAGCTGAGGCCTAGGGAAATGGTGAGGCGCTCCCCATCTGGGACACGGAGGGAGCCGGTAGCTGTGCTCACCTTCCCTGCTGTCTGTGGCTAGTGACCGTGAGCGGCCAGGAGAGGAAACAGAGACTGTGATTGGACAGTGAGGACCAAATCTCACCAGAGGCAGGAGGGCGTGGTGGCGCGCCCCTTTAATCCTAGCGCCCCGCCTTGCCTCCTGGGATTAAAGGGGTGCACCACCATACCTGACCGGTGAGCCAGGTTCTCACTCTCCCTCCGTCGGGGACTCTGCTGGCTCTCCCTGGTGGTATCTGGGCAAATGCCTGCCACAGGCTGGTGTCCTAAGCCAAGTAGAGTCCATGGGCTTGGCTTCCCACTGCAGGACATCTGTCTGAGGAACTGTGTTCAAGGCCAGTCTGGTCTACAAAGTGAGTTCCAGGACAGCCAGGGGTACATAGTAAGACCCTATCTAAAAAAAAAAAAAAAAAAAAAAAAAACAAAAAAAAAAAAGAAAGGAAGGAAGAAAGAAAGGGAGGGAGGGAGGGAAGGAGGAAGGGAGGGAAAGAAAAGAAAGGAAGGAAGAAGGAAAGGAGGGAGGAAGAGAAGAGAGAAAGAAAAGAAAGTAAGAAAGCTAACTGTGGACAGGGGCTTTCTTTCTTTTTTTCTTTTAAACTTCTAAAGCATCGGGCATTTCCCAGGAAGACCTCTGAGCTCCCCCACTGGAGGAGAAGCCTCTCTTAGTCTGGGGGGCACCCCCCTTATCGCCTCTGGAGAGCATGAGGTCTTAAAGTACCTCGCCCTTACCCCAGAGAATGTGAGGCCAGAAGGCCTGGGTTGGAATCTCACCTCCTGCAGGTCTCTGGTCATTAGCACATCACTTCCTGAATAACCTGTTTCCTCCTGAGGTTTCTGGGGTTAGCCATGCCTGTGAGCTTCAGGTACCAGATGAAACCACTCCCTGGAGTGCCCAACCTGACCCAGGGGGCTCCATAGACAGCAATCTGCCCTGCCCAAGCCTAGAAATACACCAGGGGACAGAGACAGGGCAAGGCAGGCGGCAGTCTCTGCGGGGGTGAAAGTCACAATCTCGCCTCAGCTCTCCTGCTCTCCAGGAAAGAGCTGGGCAAGAGCAGAGCTCAGAGTGGTCAGTGAGGCCTCGGGCCTGCACCAGCAGAACTGTGGCCCAGGGCACCTCCCCAGCTCACACTGCCTTCCCTTCCCCAGTCATCCCCAGAGGGAGACAATTGCCCAGCAGCTGGTTCTGAGGCAGCAGGAGAGCAGAGGGGACCCCAAAAGGCAAACACAGATACCCTACAACATGCCCAGGATTGGTGGCCACTGTGCCTTTACCTCCCTCCTTCCATCTTATACTAACTCTCCAAAGAATGTCTATCCCCCCTCCCTCCCCCAATCCTAAATGTCACACGGGAAAGTAATGGGGGTATATGTGTATGGCCTCTGAGACCAGGAGAGGAAGCCTCTTGCCCACGGCTGTCCTTGCTCTCCACTCCCCTCCACTCTCTTAGCTCCCACCAAAGCTTGAGGCTGGGGGCGGGGGGCAGGGGCAGGAGGCAGCAGTCCTCATTCTGTTATACAGCAATGGAGACGGGGGCACACAGGGTTCAGGGGCTTGCCTGAGGCTGCTGGCTGACCAGCGCCGGAGCCTGCATCTTCTGTTTCTAGGGTGCGGCACGTGGAAGGTGTGCAGAGTGCCCCCTCACAGGAGTGATGCAGGCCTCGGCCTCCCCCGGGGCTGGCTCAGCTCAGCTTGGGTTGGGCCCAGCTGCTGCGCTGGCACATGACCCCGGAGGGTGGCGTCTGACTCTGGGCGCAGGACAGAGAACATGGCTGGCACGCTTGTAAGACTTGGCTACGAGGGCCTCACTTCTTCCCTTTCTAACCCCTAGCTTCCTTAAGTCCGGCTGTCCAGTCTGGGCTATTATAGGACCCTGGGTAGAAGGAAAGGCAAAAGCATGTGTTTGAGGACTGTCTCTCTGCTTGGCACTACCCTCCTCAAGCCTAACAGTGGTCACTGGGTGTCCTGTGGGGCCTTAGTGGCTCCTGTCCACACTGTCGATGTCACCTGTGAATTTCACTCTAACCGAGTGCCGTGCCTTGAGCCCCAAACATTACAGAGGTTGCTTGGCAGGAACAAAGGCTATGACACATGCTCGGACCATCTTCAGCAAGCCCCGTGCCCTCACCAGCCTCACACAGGAGGGCCGGGGAGGATTCTCTGAGCTGCGCTGTTCACAGCCACTGCTGGTCGCAGCCAAGGAGCCAGCAGGGTGACCGGCGGATGTCTTTTCAGCGGTAGCTGGGGCTGGGCCACCGCGGGCAGCAGCAGCATCCTGGCTGAGTTTGGATCCCTGCACTTGGAATTCCTGCACCTCACTGAACTCTCGGGGAACCCGGTCTTCGCAGAAAAGGTGAGTTTGTCCCTCACTCTCTCTGAGGGAGGCACCCCCCCCCCCCAGAAGAGAGCCAGAGGGCAAAAGTCTGCAGTCAGGGTTTGCAGGGTCCCCGCCCACCGCCCTCACAGCAGTTACTGGCGGAAGAACCGACCATGCCCAACACCAGGTGGCAGGGAGGGGAACAGAAGCTACCAGAGCTCTGCCAGGGAGGTTTGTGCTGGCACATGGGCTGGTGGCACATTCTGTGAGCTGTGAAATCTGGAGACTGCGCCTGGGAGCCAGGCTCCTCGTACTGGCAGGAACAGGCAGTGGTGTGCTCGAGTACCCTTTCCAGGGACATTTAGCTTCTCCTTGTGTGAGATCGGCCTGCCTTTTCCTCCCAGCTGCCTGACGGCTTGTGCTGGCAGCAGGCTGGCAGAGCGGTTCCTCATCCCCGATCTTGGCTGCCCAGCGCTACGTGGGTGCTGAGAAGCGGTACCCAGGCCTCTGCCCAGTCCTGAGAGTTGCCTGTACCTAGCCCTGGGATGCTCTCTCCAGAAGGGCTGCAGCCCTGGGCAGTCCACCAGGGGAAGGTCTGGATTTAGAGCTAATCCTGAATCCAAAGGAAGGCAGAGTAGACACAGGCCCCTTCCAGATCAATCGGGAAACAGCCTTTGGGTTCCCACACTCCCTTTGAGATGGCATCACACCTCTACCTGCTGGGGCTGTCTTGTGTTACCAGCTATTCTTAGAACATATATCACACTCTCATGCACACACACACACACACACACACACACACACACACACACACACAGAGCTGGGAGGGAACAACTTCCCATGGTTCACTTTCCCCAGGCCCTGGAGTCTTCACATTCCCATGAAGCCCAATGCTCCTTAATACCAGGTTTGAGGGGCTGGAGAGATGGCTCAGAAGTTAAGAGCACTGGCTGCTCTTCCAGAGGTCCTGAGTTCAATTCCCAACAACCACACGGTGGCTCACAACCATCTATAATGAGATCTGGTGCCCTCTTCTGGCGTGCAGGTGTACATGCAGGCAGAACACTGTATACGTAATAAATAAATCTTTAAAAACAATACAGGGTTGGGACCACTGTGTCCTTGATGTGGGAATCCACCAGGGCGGAGACACTCAGGACAGGCTTCCCACCCTCTGACCTGCTCAGGGTGTGGTCAGCCTTTCCTTCTGTGACTCAGAGGAGTCTAATCCTAAAGCCATGTTCTCTGACCCTTTGACCAGCCAAGGCCTCCTCTTCTCCAGCTAGACTCCTCTGGGAAGCCCTGGCCAGCTCAGAAAAGGGCCCCAAGTGTGTGCACTGGCCCTTGCCATATGCTGGGCATGTTTTATCTTAAGCCTCGGCCGTCCTGGGGGAGGGTTTTTGTCTTTGTTTTTGTTTTTGTTTTTCTGCCAGCCCCATCTAAGTGAAAGGTAGAACCTGCTCAGGGCGGCCAGCTGGTGCGTGCTGAAGCTGAGACTTGGGCCAGGAGCTTTCAGCCTCTTCCTCTCAGAGCAGCTTAGCACAGCCGGCTGCAGGCTGCCCCTCCAGACGCCCTGTCCCTCCGTCACTCTCCGATTGCACATTTCAGCTATTTTCATCCCCCTAGTCATGCCTCCCTTGGAGGCGATTACTAGCAGTCAACAAATTGGCCAGAATTCTTACAGCGCCCTGCAACCAACAGGGACTCTAATCTGGCCAGCTTCCCCCCCCCCCCGCCAGGACGGCAGAGCAGAAGTGAGGCACGAGAATCCTCCCGTCCCTCTCAGGGACCAGGGCTCAGAGCAAACTGGTCAATGCCCCAGCTCTCCACTTACACAACCCTGGGCTGGGCATGGACCTCCGTCAGTGGCATCCAGCTGGCAAGCATGAAGCCCCCGTTTGATCCATGGCATTCATAGACAGGGTTGGTCAGGCACACCTGTAAACCACCCCAACCTCTTCCTCCAACCCCTCACTCCGGTCAGCCTGAGCTACATAAGACCCTGTCTTAAAAAAATCATAATTACAAAAAAAAAAAAAAAAAAATTAAGGGAAATTTAGTGCTTACAAAATAGCTACTGCCACTTAATCTGAAACTCCTCACCCAGGATGGTCTACAGGGCTGGTGCTAGCAGGTGGCCAGCCTGGGATAGGTCTGTTCTGTCCAGAGCAGTCAGCAGAGGGGTGGGGTCAGGCCCTACCTGTTCACCTTTCACCATGCTCTGCGTGAGGGCCCGGACTGCGGTTCTTTCACCGTCTCCCTCCACACCAGAAGGCTTTAGCCCCCATGCGTCTGAGCTATCTGCTCCTCCTCACAGGCGGGGAATCAGTGGTTTCTTCAGGAAAGTGACTGTGCCTGGTGTCCCTCACAGGTCAAGACTATCCGCAAGGTCCTCAGGGAGATTGACAAGCCCTTCGGCCTCTATCCCAACTTCCTCAGCCCAGTGAGCGGAAACTGGGTGCAGCGTGAGTACCGGCGCCACGGGCCCTCATCCCGTGGGTTCCCGTTCGGGCTTTCTGAGGCCAGGCGGGCACCGGCTCCTGAATTCCCCAGCATGGATGTGCCAGCAATTGTGTATCTGACCCCTCCCAGCTTTCCTGCCCCTCTGCACTCTCTCTGTGATCCCCACTTAGAACTGTCACTCAGAAGTGACTGAGGAAATGACCCTGTGGCTGCCTCCCTAGGCCCTTTGATCTGCCTCTCCACTTCCAGCTTTGATTTAGACAAAAATTGTAGATGAGTCAGACCAAGTGGTGGTTTAGGGGTCACCCACTCACCACTATATCTTAAACCTACTTGAATCTAAAAGGCTTTTTGCCTTTTTTTCTGTTTAAAGAATTAGCCCAGGCTGGCCTTGAACTCAAAGATTCGCCTGCCTCTGCCTCCGGAGTTCTGGGATTAAAGGCATGCACCACTACCTCCCAGCTGTTTAAAAACTTTTTTATTTGAGACAAGGTCTCCAGGTAGCCGAGGCTGGCCTTGAATTCTGGATCCTCCTGCCTCCTTTTCCCAAGTGCTGAGGTGACAGGTGTGTGATATCCACCAAGCAACTTTGTTAGCCACCTGTGGGGCCTCGTTCCCAAGTCCACCGACCGAGGGTGGCATGTGCTGCTGACCAGACCCCTAGGCCATGCTGTGCTCTCGCAGAGAGCCAGGCTCTGGGAGGGCAGACTGCAGCTCCTCTCTGCCCTAGTCTCTGACGCTCAGTCATGTGGTCAGTCAACAGAAACCAACAGGAACTGCACCCTCTTGCTCTCTTTCTGTGTGTGTGTGTGTGTGTGTGTGTGTGTGTGTGTGTGTGTGTGTGT